TACAGTCTACACTAAAAAGGGAAAAATAAAAACTTTTTAACAAAAAAATAAAAACCGACTTCAAAAAAAAGCACTAAAAAGTAAAAAATAACTGATTGGTAGTTTTCATTTACTATACATACCTAATCAAATATTTTCGAAGTCGGTGTGCTTTGGCTAAGTAATTAAAGCCTACCTATTAAATACATACCTAATCAAATATTTTCGAAATCGGTGCCAGCCCATACAAAGCAAAGCACACCGACTTCGAAAATATTTGATTAGGTATGTATAGTAAATGAAAACTACCAATCAGTTATTTTTTACTTTTTAGTGCTTTTTTTTGAAGTCGCTTTTTATTTTTTTGTTAAAATTTTTTTTGCATAACTGGGTCCAATTTATCAATTTAATAATATTTTAAATGATAATAAAACAATGTAAAGCTTCCTGTTTGAAGGCTTTTGTTTACGGTTATTTACAGGAAATATCATTACATAATACATTAAAATATTAGTGCTATTTATGTATATATTTTCGACAATATGTACTGTATTTGATTTATACTCGTAGAGATACACATTTTAATCGTTTTCTGTTAACTCAATTGTTCAATCAAACTGTTGTTATACCTAATTTAAAAAGACGTCTGTATGTACTTATTTACGCACGTAACAGAACAAAAACAGCTAAAGATTTCATCCCGTAAGTAAGTCACAACTCTCTGTTTGTAAAAGGAATGAAAAATTAATAAAAATAATTAAATAAGGCTTATTAGGTATATTACAATCATATATTTATAGAATATCATTTAAAGAAAAATATATATTATATATCATTTTGTCAGACAACAACAACGGTTACCATGGCAACAAACAGCTATCAGCTATCTTCATCATGTCGCTTTTTGGCTATCGGTGTGTGTGCATCGTAAAAAATTTACTCTCATATTTTTTTCCAAACGTCGCAAAGAATAATAACTTCAAAAAAAGAACATCAAGAATTTAGTAGAGCGATGGCAGATCCATTGTTAACAGCAGATTGCGTAATGTTTATCAGCAATTAAATAATCGGACAATAAATAACTAACTAGTTCTCAAATGACAGCAAAAAACCCAATCTGCATGAATGTGTCTCGCAAAAATAATAATAATTGTTTTTCGTATCGGAAACTGGCACGTTTTTGGGCGAATCTATATCTAAGGGTCATAGTTATAAAAGTATAGACTTATAAGTAAAAATGAAGCTTCTTTAGGTTAAAATCAACAAATTTAAATGGAGGTGAACATATTTAAAAAAATGTAGGTAGGTACTATAGCCACGCTCTACAACAATTTTTCACTCCAAGGAATATCATTTCAACCCACAAAGAAAATAAGGTGTTCATGCGATTTATCAATCTGCTTCAATATATTAATTGATTTAACTATCACGATGTTCACTTGTTTTTTTTTCGTCAAAAATCGAAACAGGTTTTATATTAAAGAAATTACACATAATCGTCTAAAAGTACGTAAGATTTGAACTACGCTTAAGTTACTTAATTTGATAAAATATATTGTACTGACGGATGGCAAATATTTTGCAAGCGTCTCACGTAGATACATATGTATTTACGTTATTAAATTAGTATATTACATCATTAATGTAGTTAGATAATTCATTTTTTATTTGACAAACTTATAAAGAGGACTTAAATAATCAAACAAAATAGAACTGTGCTCATTCTTTTAAAACACTTGCTGGTGTTGTCTTAACGTGTAAGAAAAGAAAAAGTTAATCGATATCATAACCATCTATTGTCAAGCTTTATAACGAGCATAGCTGTAAACCCTCAGCTTCAACCTCATACAATGGGATACAAAAGACTATTCTAGTATTCTTAGAATATTGCTGTAGCAAAATTGTGTAGTAGATGTTTGTTCAAAGAAATGACGATCTAACCTTTTTTTTCTTTTATAATATTATATGTCTTTAAATAGAAGTTTCACTGCGACATATTTCGCACTTATTATGCTCTATATATACATGCTCCGGATGTTACATTTTTGATGTCGGACTTCCGGAAAAATGTTATTTTCATACAAGATTTAAATTTTTTACCATAGAGTTCCGTTACTTTCTTTCCAGAGAACAATATAACGTAAATACATAATTAATAATCATTGATATTTTAATGTTTCTATTTTTAAAATTCTATTCTTTTAATTTTTGTGCATTAACCGATGTTAAATTATACACAAAAAGAAAATGTAAAACTTGTGATTTCATAAAATACAGCTACTTGTGGCGTGTGATTATTACTAATTTATTTGTTTATCTTCTCTATATAATGTTCTCCTGACCGATTCCGGCCGCGGCGGCCAATCTCATTGAGACTAGCCAACTGCGCAGGAGATATTATAGAGCACAAGTGTACGCGCAGACACGAGTGTACTCTCTATTCCTGTCACTCTCATACTCTGATGGGACGACCACTCGTCAAGACCTGTGAGAGTTAAGGCGCAGGACTGACGGCTTTACGTGCTCTCCGAAGCACGGGGGTGAAACACCGCCAACTTCCCAACTCCGGGCTGTTACTGAGGCTTTACTATACAGAAAGACTCAATAACAAAACTTGGCCCTACCCGGGACTCGAGCCCAGGACTCAGAACTGAGTTAAACTTTGCCTTTTTTTTTTTTTTTTTTTTTTTAATTTAACGAGGGGGAAATCTTCTAAAGATATCCAACCAACGTACGAGATGGTTAGGATATGCAGGATTTTTACCTACTAAAACCCCCTCGGTTACCATCTACTGCGTATAACGGAAAGCACCGGGATCTCTTTAAGAACGCACCGGTACTCTCCTTGCGCTATGCTACATTAAGCACGTCTCTATACACAACAGTCCCCTAAAAGTTTAGGGATGCTTCCATGGTCCTATGTCCATTTAACAAAGCTACGTTGTTATTGTACGGGAACGTGTATTACTAGCGTCCCTTCGCCTTCGTCTTCGTCGAGCGGGATCGGCCCTCTCTCGTTCTCGTTCTGAAATCTCCTTCTTAATAAGGACTGTCTCACAAAAAGAGGTTACTGCATTCCATACATTATCGTCTGCCAGCATACTCGCCACTATAGACGACAAGGAGAGATCTCCTCCAACATTTTGTATTAAATTACTCCGCTCGGAATTCCACGCTGAACAGTGCTCTAGCATATGTTGTGCGTCATCCCGTTCACCATTGCAGTGGTGACACTGTGGGGTCGTTTCACGTCCAATCCGATGAAGATACTCACTAAAACATCCATGTCCAGTAAGTATCTGAGTTAATCTGAATGTAATACTACCCTTCTTTCTTCCTAACCAAGTTTCAAAGTTTGGAAGGATAGCGTTAACAGCGCGTGAATTATTCTCACTCTCCAGTCGTGCACGCCATTCAATAGAGACTTGTCTGTGTGCCTGCCGTCGCATTTGCTCGATCTCTGCTCTGGTAATAGTTTCGCCTCTCTGATGAAGCTCTCGAACACTGTTGTATGTTTTGGCATCCATATTCGCTAGGATATCTAAGGGTGGAAAACGAGCCAACACAGTAGCCGCATTAAATGAAATTGTGCGGTAACCTCTCGCAACCCTTATAGCTAGCCGACGCTGAACGCTATGGAGCTTGGTCCTGATGCGTCTACTGTCAGATAGTTTTTGTGCCCATATAGGTGCTCCATAAAGAGCCATTGATCGCACCACTCCTGTATAAAGTCGTCGGACTCCCTCTTGTGGACCCCCAAGATTAGGTAGTAAACGATGTAATGCACCAGCTACTCTTTGTATCTTGGGGATTAGTAGCTCAAAGTGCTTTTGAAAGCTCCAGCGGCTATCTAAAATAAGACCTAGGTATTTAAGATGGTTTCCTACTTCGATATCTACGTCACCCACGCGAATTGATGTGCTGGGCGGTTTTATGCGATTTGAAAGTTTATGAAACCATATTGCCTCCGTTTTATGAGGGGCTATTTTAAGACCCAGATCCTCAATTCTGTTAACTACGCATCTTACTCCGATTTCGGCAAGTCTAGCAGTCGTTGCAAAGTCAGATCCTTCTGTTAGCACCATAGTGTCATCCGCATAGCAAATAATAGTAACACCATTAGGCAGAATACTACGTAGTATCACATCGTAAGCTAAGTTCCACAAGAGCGGCCCTAATACGGATCCTTGTGGGACACCGCAAGTCACTTCTGAAGTTAAACTTTGCCTACTAAAAATATTCAATAATCATTTTACTGTCCAAATAACATTGTATGTTTCGCGGCTCTACTTAAATCTCTCAGACCAATAAACAAGTATTTTATTGGTCTGAGTTAAATCTAATATAATATAAAAAAAAATTGTTTAATATTTTTTGTTATTTTGATTGTGATGTATTTTTTTTTGTAATTTAAGTAATAGGTATTTATATTATTTTAGTCCTGGCTGTGTATTTCTTTATCATATAAGTCGAAGTTTAAAGTTTGAAACCTCTAAACCATAGGTATTTTAAAGCCTATTACTAAATATAAATAAATAAATAAATATATCAGGACATTAACACACAACACCATCTAGTTCCATGGTAAGCTACGAGGCTTGTGTTATGGATACCAGATAGTTGATACATTATACATATATAACTTTTAAATACATACATACTATAAATATAAACACCCATGACTGGAGTAATATCATTCGTGCTCAGCACACAAATGAATGCCCCCAGCGAGACTCGAACTCGCGACCGCTGGCGCAGCAAGTAGGGTCACTACAAACTGAGCCAAACATGTTGTCGTATATATTTTAGATAAATAAGTAAAACAAAAATATAAGATAAATTAAATTACAAGATTAATTACGATATCGTTATCAGAAAAGATGCGCAAGCGCAATTATTTACCGCATTCTATTAACCTGAAAGTTGAAACCTGCAGTAGCGCGCCAACCACCAATCGAGGCGCACGTGTTTGTGTCATAGTAAATACCTCGTGGTCGGACAGCGTGTATTAAATAATTAAAATGGTGAGTGAACAAAACATTAACTAAGTATTAATCGGTATTTTATTACTGAAAATTACTACAAATAGGTTTTACTTGTGGTGGAAATCATTTGAGGCATTTTGAAATTTTATATGCTTGCGGTTTTAATTGCAACGTCAATTTGTCAACTGAAAATATTTTATTAAAATTCAAACATTGCCCCCTTAAAAACTAATATTAAATATTACATTGCTCAACATTTTCATGAAATAACTATTTAATGTTTATATTATAAGTATGTATATGGAGTTTTACTGTATTTTATTCTAAAATCGGAGCTTATATACGAATTTTATTATATAATAATATGACACTACTAGTTACAATTTTACAAGGCCGAGTAGCACGTGGCTTGCATAAAATAATCACGCAATAAGCACTTAATATAATAAAAAATATTAATCTATTTTCATACGATAATACCAAAAACGATATAAATATCTTAGGGTTTGTAATCATAAAACTAAACTGATACAATATCTAACTAAAAGACGTTGTAAGGAAAATAAATATATATAGTTACTTAGTAAAAAATGAAAATATTTTAAATAATTGCTGTCTGCCCACTTCAAAGCGTACAGTATAGTGTATGACCGTAATTAATTATAATAGATGTCAGTCCCAATAATGAAAATAGGCTTTTGTAAACCTGTACAATGGCTGCATGTTTCACGAATATAACTTGTTTAGTAAAATTCTTTTGTACCAATGAAATATGTATATATTATATATTTGAAGAATACCATTTTGTTCTTCAAATAAATACTAAGTACTCTTTGAATTATTAACAAAGAAACATCCTAGCTTTTCAAGTACTACTTTATCGTATCATATTATATAAAATATGAAAATAACTCATTCAATCCCATTCAAGATGAAATAAATGAAATATTAAATACATCGTTATTTTCGAGAGCATCATTATTATTATAGAGAAACTCATTCATTACGAGCACATAAAATAAAATACAGATTACTTTCGTTATTGAATTAACGCTCAAAGGTATTTAAAATTCAATTCCATATAAATATTTTAATTTTATACCTTGATGTAGAGAACAAAATATCTAATAACAATTAAAAGTACCTGCGTCTGTGCATTCGTTGATTTTATATATAATTACTGTATCATTAGTCTAACAATTGCTATGTGATTTTTCCTTTTGAAATGATAAATATTCAAGATAACGTTCTCTATGTTTGCTATAACAAAGATTTTATCTATACTGCCATGTAATTTAAATTTAGAATAGCTGTCGAGTGACAGGTATATTATAGGATGTTCTAAAATTCACTAAGTATTTGTCATAATAAAGGTTTTTTTTTATTAAATTTTTTTTTATTGACTAATTGAAATAGTTGAAATCATGAAATATATGTAATTCTTTATATAACTCTATCTCTATATTTTATATTTTCTTAAGTAATTCAAAATAACAATCGTTGACGCAAAAGGTGTTCTTTCTTTAAAATTTGAAATTCGTCCTTGTATTAATTTTGTGTTGTGAATTTTTACTTTATTGTACCAATACGTATAGCGCAGATAATACAAAAACAAATGAGTAATTTATTTTTTCGCTTAATTAATATTAATATATGCATAGAAAATAAACTTAAATATTAATGTAGAGCAATATAATTGAAATAAATCTTCCAATTTTAATGGCTTCTGCAAAAAAATAATCAACAAAGTAAAAAAAACGAGTTAAGATACCTGATGTTATTCTTTACAATCTTGCTAACAGTAAAACTTATAATACACTGTGAGTATGTAACACTTAGGAGTTTAAGCTTTAATTTTGAACGGCCCCTTATTGATGCCTTGGGAATGATGTGATCACCTCCAAGCTACTTCAAATGACGTTATAATTTAATACGTTACAATTAAGAAATTGTTATAATTTAAAGTTGAATAACATATTTTGAATTTAATATAAATATTTTTTTATTCTAAATAATATGGAGTCCGTTAAATAAAACCTATGACTGTCATGTTTATCTTTCTTATCAGTCATTATCTCTAAAATACTCTAAAGTTACGAGGGTCGTTAAATTTACGAGGGGCGTTCAATAAAAAGTGAGGATGAGTATGTAGCCGGTAACTTTTATTAAATTTTATTTTATTTTTCGATATATATGTAGTCGCCTTTTACCTGGAACTTACTTTTGGTATATCTTTTCCCAAAAAAAAACTCTTCATCCTGAGCACCTAAAAATTCCTGTACTGCAACGATTCATTTCATCATTTTATTATACTGCTCCATTATTTTCGAATTTCTGTCCTCTCAGAGACTCCTTGAACCTTGGAAATGTATAGAAATCACTAATATGCCAGAATCTTGAATTCAGCCATAGCAATGGCGGATCTGAGCGCCGGGGCATCATCTTGATGGAACAAAACAATTTTTGCTAACCTAATCAATATTCCAGCTTTACATGTCTGTATTAACTTTTTTTGGTTCCAAAGACCTCATTCACACTTTTTATGACGCCATACGTAAATATTATCAAGCTGTCATATGTAAAGTGAGAAATTAATACATAACAAATGTAACCTTTCTTTGGTTACATGTAAATGACCCCTTCCGGGAAATGGTCGGACGGAAGTCTATACCTTTTATATTACTGAGTCTCATAACTGACAAGTTACGAAACATATTAAGAAAAAGTATTTAAAAAAAATTATAATTAGGAATTTAACAATAACATAGTATATAACATTAAATTGAGATGAAACTAAGCATAACCTCCTTTTCGATTCTGTACAACACATAATTTTTACTTTTTAAAAAACAATCTTAGATTTTGAACGTATAACATGTTTTGATAAAAAAAATATACAAACAGAATGATTTATATAAGTGCAGAATCTCTTATAGGATTATCCTTACTTAATAATATACATGGAAACCGGAAAGGGTTGGAATAATCACTATGTAGACTCAACACGAACACCATAAGATAAGTGTAAAACGATAATAAAGATTATAATTATTATCAAATAAGTGCTTTTAAAGAAACTCCCAAATCTTTATTCTGAGAAAATATGGCGTAAAAGTATTATTATTAATAAAATATTTAATCGTGCGACATAAATACAATGTTTTTCCATGTACATAATACATATTTACATACATTTATGCTTTTGACTAAGATAGCCCTAACAAAGTTTTATTAATGTAATGAAAGTAAATCAATTTAAAATCGAGAAAGTTCTACTTAAAATCGAATCTAAGTAGGTAGATATATACATTTAGTAAATACCTTACCTTTAATCAATATCTCAAAAAAAGAAAAACATATACTATTAATTATACTAATTAAATAAATAATCAATAGAATAGACAAAGATTTTAAGAACTGCTATTTTGTACGAGATATTTTTTTTTTCTTTTAAATACAAACATGCACAACCTATATTAACAAAACATATTTATGATCAGAATCAGTTGTAGTTTTAGCGCGAGCGAAGCCGCGGGTTCTGCTAGTAGATTATAAATATATATATTACATACTAGCCCCCTATTTCTTTATTACAACTGATTTAAAAGATTTGAAAGAATGCTCAGCATATTAATATATTTCAAATATTTACATAGGACTACATACATATAAAATATTAAGGATATCTACATAGTTTATCTTATAAATATTGAAAAAATGAATGCACAGATAAATGGTTGAAACTTGTTTTATAAAACATCCTTATATTTTGAATTATAAATATTAATGTATCTTATTTCTATATGTACATACTAGCGGACCCGACAGACGTTGTCCTGTCTACACGTCTTTAATTTGAAAATTTCAAACTAATACTAAACTTAATAATTTTTTTGATGAAAATTATTATTCAAATTGTGAATCTAAACCATTCCCAGATCCCCTTGAACACACACAAAAAATTTCATCAAAATCGGTCCAGTCGTTTGAGAGAAGTTCAGTGACATACACACTCACAGAAGAATTATATATATAAAGATACATATTCTTCATGTTATCTATACATATAACATACCTAAATAAATAGTAACTGAATGAAATTTGTATATGCAACATTTTTTTAAAACAATGAAGCTGTTACGTATTATCTAAAGAATACAGACCCCAAAACAATAATTATTGAAATTTTTGTTTGTTTGTATATCAGTGTGCATCTGGCGCAAAAAGTAATAAACCGTTTTTAACTAAATTTTGTGTAGTAATAGCTTATTATTATTTAGAATACCTATTGATCCCTTGGGGTAGTACAATACATACTTTTTACGAGTCATCTTTAGAAATTTATATGGCTAACGTTGGTGAAATCTTAAGAGACAATCAAACGAATGTACTAGAAAATTTAAGTCTTAAAAAGGCCTTTTGTTTTAATGTTGGGAAATGCATTTACGCACAAGGTGGGACTCACCGGCAAAGCCAGTACTACCCACTAAAACCCAACAAAGCCTTCCCCCGTCTTAATGGGGCGTCGCAGGATCGCTTACGCATTCAACTACGACGCCCCGACGGCAGGTCTGCCGAAGCAGACCACAACAACCACGGGGTTGCTCCAAGGTCCACTCTGCTATCGGAGAAGTACCAGGAGCAACCCGCATGGTACATCGCCCTCCGAAGAGGGCCACCTCCCACCGCCCACCGAAGTTGGCCACCTCCCTGTGCGTTTCTTGGCTTCGCGCCCGGCTGGTTTGCCGGGCACTTCTGAGCCCCTACCACCACGACAAGGTGTAGTATCAATATTTTTACGTATTTAAAACGTACCCGAGAGAAGCGAGAACAAGTCGCTAGTATTATAATAAAATTTTTGTGTTATCAATTTAAATTAATTTAGTTGAAATAAATACATTTCAATGTCAAAATAACGATTGAAAATAGCAAAAACAGCGCGCAAAAACTCGTAATATAGTTTTATATAATATATTGGTCCGGTGATCTTTTCTTGATACAAAAAACATCAATTCGATATTTGACTTTTATATTTTTTT